CACATACGTTGTGAACTGAAGCTATAAATAAATAGAGGGTCACAAATTTGTTTTTAGCACTACCCAGAACGGTAAGTCAACATTCAAGTTTTAGAACGGATTGGGACTTTCAGTTTTTTGACACTCAAAAATAAGAATATTATGTTTTAAGATGAGATACGATGCGATTCTTAAAATCATCCGTTTGTTTAACGTGATAAAGGAAAACACTATCTGTAGATGAAGCTGCCGATTATATTTAATATTCGAAATATAGAGAAACAATACTTCCATAAAAATAATTTTGCTAATCTAACGATTATTTGTAAAAATAGTGACATCATCATAGCATTCACAGCGTGAGCACATTTTCTTCCTCATGCTCCAAAATACCACGTAGGAATTGTTTAGTTCCTGTTCTCGATGTGATAGGCATTGAGGGATGAACCTGTATACAATCTCGTTTAGTATCTATATAGCGTAACTCTGATAAAGTTATATTGCTTTAAAACATAAGATAGATCGAATTATCTCTTAACCATATAAACAATCAATCATACTTTATATCAATAGTACATAAGAGAATGCAATCCTGCGCACTAGGTGCGAGTAGCGGTAACTACCTCACTTTGAACCCAACCACAGCAAAGCCTTCAAACGAAGTATGTATTTGTACTCTGACCTAATTATTGATGTTCATTAGTTCCTGATTTTCCCAAGATTTCTTCGGCAAATTGTCTTAAAGAAAGTAATGGAAACTGAGTACAGCGCCGAAAACGTTCCGTTGGTTCTTCAAGAGATACTATGAACCAATAATGGCTCTTGTGACGGAACTACCTACATAAGATAATTTTAGGTGAATGCAAAGAATTATGATGTGTTTGATTTAAACTAAAGATTAAGTGGTCTGCTGCATATTCGCAAATAAGACCCTACATGTTCTACATTCGGCATCCATGACGTTCAGGTTATGCACGAATCATTGCGGATCCCTTCTCTTCGAATTCTAAACCGATTTCGCATTTATTGACTTTCGGTTCACCCTGTATTTAAACAATATTAATAAATACTGAATAATATACATAAGTAGTTGTAAATGCAATGAATCACTTAAAATAATACAAAATGATAGTAATTTTAGAACATGCGAATATGAGACATAAAATTCTTTTATTCAAAACATTTATGTGTGTGTAAATAAATATATTTGCGTATTTGTGAGATAAGTACGTAATTCGAAATTTATTCACCTACTGAAGTTGGCTTTTCACACATTCACACTTCATTTCATGTTCTCTCTGATGTTTATCAAATATATAAACATACATACAGCTTAAAACTACGTAGTAATATTATACATACAATATTGACATATATATACATCTATATCAATATACATATAAATTATTATATATTATATATTGTAGAAGTATGATTTATATATATTCAAACCCAGATTTTAACATGCTTGTGGCAATCGCTGCCTTCAATTATCACCTTTTTGTAAAAACTGAATTGTAACACAAGACTGGCTAAAAAGGTTTATAAAAAGTAAGACTTCTGCAGTTTTGGCTCACACTTTTATTGACTGAATGATTTTTGTTTTTACATTTTCACACTTTCTACTCAACTTTGATAGTTCCTCATCTCTGTCTCAGTTTCCACGCGCCACTTCGCGGAACGGTGTCTAGAATCTTAAATATCGTAAATCGTCTTCCTACTTAGCACTAAAAAATCATAGGTGTGTCTGTAATAATTTTATAAATAAAATACTAATAAAACTTCCGCTCTTAAAATCGAGTGTGTTTTCCGTGAAATTATTATTCCCCTGAACACGAGCCGGATCTACATATATATTACATAGTAACATTCAACGCAACTTCAAGTAAGCTGAAGCGCGCAAGTTTGATAATAAATGATTGTGGTTATTCCGGATCAAATAGATTTTCAATTGCTCACGCAAAGCGAAGTGCCGAGAGTTTCTAAACTTAAAGAAAGCTCTTCTGTTTTTGCCAGCGTTCCAGGCTTGCTGTGAAAGCTGTAAAAATTAATCGGTCCAAATCCATAGATATAAAGTGGTAAAATTAATTATTTAACGCTGCGGTCATTTGTTCCATCATAGTAGTGGATATAAATGTTGATAATGGATAATAAAGAATCCAGTATATAGTTACTATGCTATGAATCGTACAGCTGGTGGTTTCCGTTCTTCGTCTTCCTGTGCAATTCAATCAGAATGGAATTCCAGTATTATTATCTAATATTTGCTCGTTATTTGGCCCAATTTCTCCTGTTTGTAATTTGCTTCTAAATTTACAATGGTCCTGCATTGTTTATGTCTCTCCCTACTGAGCTGCTTTCTGAAAGATTTGATGAATGAGTTAAATAGTGTAATTGGTTTCACCTCAGTCTAACTTAGTGTGGATAACATCAGAATATTCATTTTAAACAGGTTGTTGACGAATGCGTCAAAATTAACAACTTTCTTACTCTCAACAATCTCTGATCCCAATAGGAATATTGGGAAAATATAAAACAATTATGTTAACTAAGATATATCAATAAAAAAGCGAAATGAAAACGAAAAACAAAAGTTCATTAAATCGAATACAGAGCCATTATTCGAAATGATTGGCTGCAAACCAGTCTTGTTTGTAATGACCCTAAATGTATTATATTACGGTTAAATAAATGTTAATTTATTTTTAATGAGAGAGAGGAGAGTTCGGTATGGTTATCAAAACTGCTCTTCGGTTGTCTATTATTTCTTCTCGGCTAATAAAATGTATTGCAAGGAGCGGCGTCTTGAGTATATTGAATCAAAACAAGAAAAACGTTAACTCGGTTGGCGCCGAAGCTATAATACCCTTCACAAATACAAAGGCCCTTATCAGAACTTGATTTCGAACGTCAATTGTATGGTAGCTAAGTATATGATTAGTTAGATCTGATCTGACCAATTTCTGTGGAGAATAATTTGTTGCCTAAGCAATAATCGCTGCCTAATTTCGTGATACCTTAGATTTTCCATGCAAGCACTTGACTCCGATTGTTCAGTTTGTATGGCAGCTATATGCTATAGTCATCCGATCTAAATAATTTCTTCGGAGATTACATTGTTGCCTCAAATAATAATCCGTGCCAAATTTCATTAAGATACCTCGTCAAATGAAAGAGTTTCCCATACAAGCACTTGACTCCGATTGTTCAGTTTGTATCGCAGCTATATGCTATAGTCATCCGATCTAAATAATTTCTTCGGAGATTACATTGTCGCCTCAAATAATAATCCGTGCCAAATTTCATTAAGATACCTCGTCAAATGAAAGAATTTCCCATACAAGCACTTGACTCCGATTGTTCAGTTTGTATGGCAGCTATATGCTATAGTGGTCCGATATCGGCCGTTCCGACAAATGAGCAGCTTCTTTTTTAGAAAAGGACAGGTGCAAAATTTCACATCGATAGCATAAAAACTGAGGGACTAGTTTGTATATATACAGACAGACGTACAGACGGACAGACAGACAGACGGACATGGCTAAATCAACTCAGCTCAGCATGCTGATCATTTATGTATATATTTTATAGGGTCTCCGACGTTTCATTCTGGGTGTTACAAACTTCGTGGCAAACTTAATATACCCTGTTCAAGGTATAATAACAGAACACATACAAGTACATATTAGGTGAACTCAGGGGGTTGTTAGATGGTATTTATATTATATTTGTTCAAAAACTCTCGGATAATGATGAAATTGGATGTCAGTGCTTTATCGTGGGGCAAAATTTAAGAGTGGTTAACCCACAAATCCAGTCGGAATATTTTCGGCTTTGCCTATTCGATGTACTTATGTACGTTAACGAAATCGGCAGAGTATAGTACCCGAAACACTTCGCTTAATAAGCCAGTGAAATTTGGTGGTAAAGATTGCCTTTACATTTGTATTCAGGTACATGTGCTAGCTTAACAAATACATAAATATTGCATATCTTTCCACATGTGTCTGAAAGAGCAACAACATGACTCTGACACTTCGGAGCCTGAATTATTCAGCAGGTCGAAGGAAGTATCATTTATGTCTACATCGTCATAAAAACTTGGGGCTTTGAAAAAAAAAAAAAAATTCTAAAATTATTAAACACAGCAATAGAAGAATCAGAGTAGTATGGACCACCCTGTAAATATTTCGCCACAACTGTAAATTCGTATGTTATTATTAAAAACTGTAAAACTGGGATGTTTACTGGGGTAATATAAATATATTCTCACATATATATAGTCGTACATATGTATATGTTCTGTAGAATTTGACATGCCTTCCAAATACAATTATTTTTAAAGCATTTTTCCACATTTCATATCTCCAGTTTCGTACAGCTCAACAATTCTCTGAAAGTCAAGTGCTTCTTACACTACGGACATTTGTCGGCAGCCACGAATTGCAACATAATACACACAAGGCCACATGACCATTAATATACCGAACATTGTTGCTGTCATAATACGCCGCGTAAACAATTTTAAAATTTACTTATTAATTCTTCAAGCTTTGTTTTGATCAGTATATTTGTTTATTCTATTTATATGTTTTCATTCGTTCAGTTCACAAATAAGCAAACATACATACATTTATATCAATTATATGTGCCATGAGAAAAATGCGGCAGGTTCAGAATGTGTGCCCGATTAGTCGCAAAGGAATATTTGACTTCTTTTTATGGGGAATGAACAGTTTGTTCCAGCGAGACTTATGAAGAGTACATAGTCTCTTATACCCGAAAGACTACAAAAGTATACTACTCGCTTTCAACAATTCCAATATTTTGCAGCTAATCAATATCCAATTATACTATTACTATTGTCTTCTAGAAGTAATTAATACTTAATTGTATCCTAAAAGTATGTTTTAGAAACTAATGCATTGGCAATTGTACCTTAAAGAGAATAATTTTTTAAAAGATTCCTCACACAATTTTCTGCTGGGTGTATATACTCCATACTCTCATACACACATTTTGAACTGACATTACTTTCCGTTTCAGTTTCTGGCCACACAGGACTTAAGTTTACATTTTACTGCTGCCACAACAGTTTCTTAAGTGACGCGCTGTAGTTCGGAGTCCCGATTGGCATATTTCCCAAAAATGAAGAAGAGGAGCAGGTAAATGAATTTTAAGCAGTTGTGGTTCGAAAAAGCAGCATAATAAGAGTGTTATGTCGCTATAAAATTGATAAAAATAAATGTAGGTTTTCAATATAATCCGTGATCAAAACTGGTACTTTGCACGAAAACAAAATTATGACAATTATGAGGTTAAACATCGCGGCTGTCATAGCTTCAGTGAACCGAGCATATTTGTTATAAGCGCTTATTAGCCGCCACAGAAAAATGTTTATGGCTCAAAGCGCTTCGTCGGTGCACTAGTCTGTTTTGATCCACACTTAAGTGCTTATGATATAACGAAAACCCCTTATTTCCACTTTCCAAATGACATCCTAGTAACCATGTCGATATGAACTAGGATGGGAAAAAATAATCGCATTTAGTTTTTAATACTAACTGATTTTTTTACTACATTTTACTCGTATTAAAATAATACCATTTCAGCAATTCTTCCGAAGTTCTCCTGGATGGTTGTGAAAATGTACACATTGACGATTTAAGCACAATGTTACCCAGTGAGATATCTGTAACCACGAATCTCCTTGAAAACAATCACTCAACCGCCAACAGTGTATCGTTGCATCTGAAGCCGACTATTAAAACGCAAAAATCAGACACAAAGGTCGACATTGAACTTCCGCTTTCTGGTGAGAGAGCAAATAAAACACTCGCTGACATAGCAAACGAACCTTCGATTTTCCACCAACCACCGCTGCTTTGGTATCGCAACTGGACAACCGCTGGCATCGTGCTTTGTGTGGTCTACAATTTGACCATAGTATTACTCCTAGTGATGGGATTCTTCAAGTTCCGCCAAAGCTGAAGCGGAAAACAGGGGAATCGTCTAATTTAAAAACACATTCCATACATCTTTTTCAATGTAATTAAAACTTTAATTTTTCATCATATCCATGTAGTATTATAAGGCCATATTAATCAATTATATATATACTTGTATACATATATACACTTATATTTCGTGTTTACATAATTTAGCACTTGGTAATTTGTTTCACGTAGCATTCCTTTATAAATTCCTCCAGTTTTATGAATTTAGTATTCAACGCAAATTCTTGCTGAACACTTCTAACCAAATAATAAAGAGTGCCACCGCGAAATAGCCCAACAATATCAGCACTACGGTTGTGGGATCAGCCGAGAAAATAGAATGAATCAGAGTCACAGAACCGGTCATGAGCACTACGAAGAGAAAGCAAACCACCATCACTGTTGCAGTATCACGATACCAAGCCAAACTTGGATCGGGCGGTGCCGGGCGCACCACCTTCGAAGGGCGATATTCCTTCAGGTATTGCGTCTCGAAACCGCTGCTGAAATCGACATCATCGAATGCCGGCGCCAGCTTGGTTCTCTCCGCATCCACATCCATGGACATATTTAATTATTATTGACTTCCAACAATAATATGCAATTAATTATTTATGCTATGAATTCTAATTACTGTGACTTATATTCTGAGAAATCGCCGATGCCTTCCGTCAGTACTTCCACGTCTATACGGTCACTTATACTGCCTATCAGCACCTCAATTGGTCGATTTCAAAGGTGGCAGCTGTGCTTTTAACAACAATAGTTAATTCTAGGCGATAAGTACGAGTATTACATTTGAAAGCCACAATTAGCCAACAATTCTAATAGCAACTTTAGTATAACTACAACAAACAATATCTTTTGTATTTAGTAAAACCGTTTTCACTGTTATCAGAACACTTCTCTATCGATACATTGCGTTTGTGTTCATAGACATTCTGATAAGATAGTGCGGTATAGTGCTCCTATATACTTACGAGTACAAGGATGGGGGCACTGGCGTTAATGCACGTACTCATGATTTAGAAAACTTTTGGCCGAGTTTCTTTTTTCATATGGATTGTGCCTTATCTTTCGAACCCTAATAATTCAAGTTTTGCGTTAGAAAACTTCCAAAATTTGACAAAGCGTAATATTTTCTGAGCACTAACGTAAAAGCTATTTTTGTATATCTGTATATTTTTCGTTACGAGATTTGAATCCACAGCTCACCGAGTGGTTATCGTGCACTGAATGCACTTTGCTGCAGCTAATGCTACTGTATCAGAGTTGAGTACTCTATGTATGATAAACAACGGTCTAGAGTCAGAGCATAGTTGTAGTGATTAAAAAAGAATTAACGAGTAAACAAAAGTTTTTTTTCATTATTTGCATTTAATATAGCCTACTGTATACTTATATAGTATCTAGGAAAGTATTGAAAAGTGTAAATGATGTAAATTTCACAGCTGGCATTTTATAAACAACTTTAAATCTTAAATGAATATTTCACTAAGTACCAACTGGGGAGTATAATTATGTCATGTGGTTAAACTCAGAATGGTCATCTGTACGCCTGTTATGTCCACTTTAAAAGTTGGATCTTTGAAAAAATTAAAGCCTTTATATTTCGAAAAGTACTAATTTGATTTATGAAATATTGGTATGGTTGTAAAAGTGACCAAGCGCGCTTTCTACTATCCATATAGAAATTTGAGAAAAAAAATTAACGAAAAGAAATATTTTTATGTGTATATTTTATAAAACCTACTTTGAACCGTTGTTTTTTTCATCTTCATAATCAATATCATGTTTATCATCATCATCGACCTCATCCAATTTTTTTGTTGTGTCATCATGGCCTTTTTAAAGAGTTTTTAAAAAATTGGATTTCTGTCAATATATCAATATCTATTCGCTTGATCTATTACCATGGGAATATTTTCTATATCCAAAACTGAAAACCAATATGAAACCGCTTACGACTACAATAATTCGATTCGAGTTTTTGGGAGTAAAGCACAATCGTAAATTATAAGATTTTCAAATTTCACATCTGAATTGAAAACTTTTTCAACTGAAAACATATTTTAATTAAATGTTTGAATTCTTCAGAACTCTATACCCCTGAACCTTAAACCTTGTTTTCTGCTATGCAATACTGGCTGCCATTTTATTTTTATTTGGAAATTCAAAACATCCGTTTTCAATCATAAACTGTTCTATTTTGAACCTTCAATTCCAGACATATTGTACATTTGTAAAATAATTTTTCCCAACAATTTATTATACCTGGGCTTAGTATTTTTGTTTACTGCGATACGACCACATTCATTGAAATTATAAACTTCATATCGTAAGTTAGCTAAATTATTAGGATAGTATATAATATATACAGTATGTACATACTTATGTAGAAGTTAGTGACCCCCAGGCAGTTAATTTAAAAGCATATTTCGAATAATATTTCTTTTTTTTTAATTAATTTTATGGATTTTCAAGTTCTTTTTGGTTTTTATTTACTCAATTTATTAGATGTGTTAATTAAACAACTTCAAGCGTGTTCAACTTAAAACATTGTGTTAAAACTCACATTTACATATAGATACATATGTTTTAAATTTAGAACAAACGAAGATCTGGAAATATATATAAATTTTTTCAAAATTATATGAACCTGCATAAATTTCCCTAAAAACACACATTCTCCGTGTATAACCCAATGACTCAGTTAGTGACGAATTATTCGACACAAATAGATCAATACATGTCGCATCGTTCAGTTTTTTTTTCGAGGCAGTGGAATTATAAGGTAAAATGCCAAAAGAGATAAAAAAAAATGTGGAAAACGGTTGGCCTCAAGGGCCATCCCTGCAACTTCCCGCTAATTTCATACGCTAACGTTCAATTTTCGCTTTTTTCACTGCTTTTGAGCTCTTCGAAATTTTTCGTTTTCGATATCTAGCAAGTAAATCAACCGATTTCGACCCGGTTTGCGGCAAACGATGTGTTTTTTCAAGGTTTAGAACTGATTAGTTTTTAGTGTCGATCGGTCAAGTCAAGAAATTTATTTTTGAGATTTCTCGAAATCTACTGGTCCGATTAGGCCCAAACTTACACGAAATTCAATTGCAATGAAACCCTGTGAAATGCCGTTTAGTTTATTCAGGTTGAGCCGTTTAAAAGTTATAAGAGGTTTACATACATCCACACACACACACACATACATACAGACATACGGACATCATCGTAGAAATGTTCGGGGAAGCTTCCTCGACCCTCAGAACGTCGATATCTGTTGAGAACTCGATTTTCGCAAAATGGGGTGAAACCAATGCCTTCCCGATTTTTAGAAAATTTTCAATTTTCTTTGCGAGAAGTTAAGAAATCAGCCGATCAACTTCTCGTTAAGTTAGTGTTTAAAAGTAATTTTATTGTTGAAGCGTTAATGGCTTATCAGAATCGGTTGACATGTCACAACAGTAAATCAATAACGATCTTTAGATTCGCATTGTGTAAACGAAACGCTTGAAATAAAACGCTTATCTCTACTTGCTTTTTATACTCTCTCAACATGTTGCTAGAGAGTATTATAGTTTTGTTCACCTAACAGTTGTTTGTAATACCTAAAACTAATCGAGATTGATATAGAGTTATATATACATGATTAAGATGACGAAACGAGTTAAATTTCGGGTGACTGTCTGTTCGTCCGTCTGTCCTTCTATCCAAGCAAGCAAGCTGTTACTTGAGTAAAAATTTTAATTTTTTTTTCAATATATGTATGTATATATAACTGTAATTTGATACATGAGATTGCAGTAGTTAGGGCACCTGTGGGCAAAAGATTTTTAAAAAGTGGGCATGGTCCCGCCCCCTAATAGGTTTAATGTACAATACATATCTCACAAGCCATTAAAGCTACGAGTATATTAACATATTTATTAATCAACTTCACTCAGAACACATTTCAAAATCAAAAATTTGGTGTCTACTATTACTCAGACATTCTTACTCTAAAGAATTGATTGATAGACACCTCTAAGAAAGTCTCTCTAAGCTTTCAATTGTAACGGAAGGTCCTCCGCTTTAAAATTTTTTAATTTTTTTCCTATTATCACATAGAAAAATCCATATTCCTCCATATAATCTCCGAAGAAATTGTATAGATCGGATCACTATAGCATAAAGCTGCCATACAAACTGAACAATCGGAATCAAGTGCTTGTACTCTTTCATTTGACGAGGTATCTTCACGAAATTTGGCACGGATTGTTATTTAAGGCAATAATCTAATCGCCGAAGAAATTGTATAGATCGGATGACTATGACATGTAGCTGCCATATTAACTGAACGATCGGAGTAAAGTGCTTGCATGGAAAATTTTTTTATTTGACGAGTTATCTTCACGAAATTAGACATGAGTTCTTGCTTAAGGCAACAAATTATTCTCCACAGAAATTGGTCAGATCAGATCACTATGTCATATAGCTGCCATACAAATTGAACATTCGGAATCAAGTTCATGTAAGGGGCCTTTGTATTTGTGAAGGGTATTATAGCTTGGTGCAACCGAAGTTAACGTTTTTTCATGTTATCATTGTATTCAGTAATGTTGACAATTTCATCATGGAAAGATATACGCAAGAATAACGCTTACAAATTATTCAAATTTATTTTCAAAATAACTTGAAAACGATAACGATTTCTTTAAGAAAATCATCTCCTCTGATTAGGCTCATTTTCATCTGAGTGGTGCCCTTGTGAAGGGTATTATAGCTTGGTGCAACCGAAGTTAACGTTTTTTCATGTTATCATTGTATTCAGTAATGTTGACAATTTCATCATGGAAAGATATACGCAAGAATAACGTTTACAAATTATTCAAATTTATTTTCAAAATAACTTGAAAACGATAACGATTTCTTTAAGAAAATCATCTCCTCTGATGAAGCTCATTTTCATCTGAGTGGTGCCTTAAATAAACAAAACTGTCAATTCCACAAATTATTCATGAACAACGATGACATTCACCTAAATTGACAATTTGGTGTGGTTTTTGATCTGGTGGAATCATTGGTCCGTACTTCTATCGAAATGAAGCTGGAATGAACCGTTATTGCCGATGGAGGGCGATATAGATCGATGATAACCAACTTTCCATGGCCACAATTGGAAGAAAATGATCTTGATAACATCTGGTTACAACAAGACGGAGCCACGTGCCACACAGCAAATGCAACAACCGAATTATTGCGAGAAATATTTGAAGATTCGATAATTTCAAGAAATTTTGACATTGAATGTCCTCCAAGAAGCTGAAATTTAACACCATAAGACTATTTCTTGTCGAGTTATGTGAAGTCATTGCTTTTTAGCAATAAACCAGACTCTGTTCAAGCTTTAGAAGTCAATATTGAACGTGTTATTCATGAGGTACGACCTGATTTAGTGGAAAAAGTACTAGATTGGGTTCATCGAATTCATTCCTACAAAAGAAGCCGTGGGTCCCTTTTAAATGATGTTATATTCAGAACTGAATTGTACCGACTGCTCTTTACATTAAATAAAAAACATTTGCATTTCCTTAACAAATAGTTTTTTTATACCCTGAACAGGGTATATTAAGTTTGCCAGGAAGTTTGTAACACCTAGAAGGAAACGTCGGAGACCTTATAAAATATATATATAAATGATCAGCATGATGCGCTGAGTTGATTTAGCCATGTCCGTCTGCCCGTCCGTCCGTCTGTATATATGCAAACTAGGTCCTCAGTTTTCAAGCTATCAATCTGAAATTTTGTACCTGTCCTTTTCTCACTAAGAAGCTGCTCATTTGTCGGAACGGCCGATATCGGACCACTATAGTATATAGCTGCCATACAAACTGAACAATCGGAAGCAAGTGCTTGTGTGAGAAACTTTTTTATTTGACGTAATATCTTCAAGAAATTTGGCATGAGTTATTTTCTAAAGTAACAATGTAATTCCCGAAGAAAT